AAAAAAAAAAAAAAAAAAAAAAAAAAGAGAGAGAGAGGAAAGAAAAAAATGCAAGTTGCTTCTTTTTTGCTTTTTTAAGTGGAAAGCAGTTATCAGAATATTCCTCAAACATACTTTCCTTTTATTTTTTATTTATTTATTTATTTTTTGAAGATGGGGTTTCACCATATTGGTCAGGCTGGTCTCGAACTCCTGACCTCAGGTGATCCGCCCACCTCAGCCTACCAAAGTGCTGGGATTACAGCCGTGAGCCACCGCCCCGGCCAAACATACTTTTCTTTCGTTATCTCCTTTGGTTATCACTTAATCAGCTTAGTACATTGAGTATGTAGGGAAGAAAAAGAATCTTATCAGCAAATCTCTTTTCTTCATCATTCTATCCTAGAAATTTTTTATGGATAATTACTACCTCATATATGGCATTTGGAAATTTGTGAAATCATTTTTGGTTGTCATAATAATTATGAGGGTGGAATACTGCCATTTAGTAAAGGGTGCTAAGAATGCTAGTCCATCCTGCAGTGCAGTGGGCAGTATCACACAATGAAGAATTGTCTCAAATCCTGTGTGAATTTGAATGTCTCATAGGACATTGATGTAGGTTAAAAAAAAAAAAAATCTATTTATACTTATCCAAGCCTAAAACCAAGCTCTTTTTAAAAATATAAACAGGCCAGGCGTGGTGGTTCACGCCTGTAATCCATGCACTTTGGAGGCCAAGGTGGGCGGATCACCTGAGGTCGGGAGTTCAAGACCAGCCTGACCAATATGGTGAAACCCCATCTTAAAAAAAAAAAAAAAAAATATATATATATATATACAGACCAAAAGCAGTGTCTCACACCTGTAATCCAAGTGCTTTGGGAGGCCAAAATGGGAGGATCTCTTGTGGCCATGCATTCAAGACTAGCCTGGGTGACAGAGTGAGATCCTGTCTCTAAAAGAAAAAATTTTTTTTTTGCTGGGCATAGTGGCTCACGCCTGTAATCCCAGCACTCTGGGATGCCGAGGCAGGTGGATCACTTGAGGTCAGGAGTTCGAGACCAGCCTGGCCAACATGGTGAAACCCTGTCTCTACTAAAAACACAAAAAAAATTGCTGGGCATGGTGGTGGATGCCTATAATTCCAGCTACTCAGGAGGCTGAAGCAGGAGAATCTCTTGAACCCAGGAGGCAGAGGCTAAAGTGAGTCAAGATCACACCATTGCACTCCAGCCTGGGCAACAAGAGTGAAACTCCATCTCAAAAAAAAAAATTTTTTTTTTTTTGGCCGGGCGCGGTGGCTCAAGCCTGTAATCCCAGCACTTTGGGAGGCCGAGGCGGGTGGATCACGAGGTCAAGAGATCGAGACCATCCTGGTCAACATGGTGAAACCCCGTCTCTACTAAAAATACAAAAAATTAGCTGGGCATGGTGGTGCGTGCCTGTAATCCCAGCTACTCAGGAGGCTGAGGCAGGAGAATTGCCTGAACCCAGGAGGCAGAGGTTGCGGTGAGCCGAGATCGCGCCATTGCACTCCAGCCTGGGTAACGTGAGTGAAACTCTGTCTCAAAAAAAAAAAAAAAAGAAAAATTTTAATTCAAAGTGGTTTTGCCCAATTTAATGATACACTACAATTTCCAGGAATACAAGTAATATATAAATCAAGAAAAAATGTTCTTTAAAATTTCTCCAAGAAGTTAGTGTTAATAGTATTTAGCGCTAGTACAGTAAAGCTGAATTTGTAATAGCCTCCATTTGTATCTTTCTTATTTATTTATTTTGAGATGGAGTCTTGCTGTCTTTTAGGCTGGAGAGCAGTGGCGTGATCTTGGCTCACTGCAACCTCCACCTTCTGGGTTCTTGCAATTCTCATGCCTCAGCCTCCCCAGTAGCTGGGATTACAGGCTTCTACCACCAGGTCTGACTAATTTTTGTATTTTTAGTAGAGACAGAATTTCACCATTTTGGACAGGCTGATCTCGAATTCCTGACCCTAAGTGATCCACCCACCTCAGCCTCCCAAAGTGCTGGGACTACAGGCACGAGCCACCACGCCTGGCCCAGATTTATTTTAATTCTACATATAGATGCAAGCCTCTGTCTACTTCTAGGGCAGTTTGACCTATGACTTACACACTGAAATGCATGTTATTATAAATTGCTTTGCTTTTACTTATTCTCACATTTATATTTTTTAAGTATAGGTAGTGTTTTGTCTTGTTTTGTTTTGTTTTTATAGAGATGGGTGGTTATAGGGTCAGGGTGGTTTTGAACTTCTGACCTCAGGTGATCCACCCACCTCGGCCTCCCAAAATGTTGGGATTACAGGTATGAGCCACCACGCCCGACCAAAGTATAGGTAGTATATCTATGAATATCATTTTAGAGGAATAAAGGGAATGTTAAAAATATTTTTAGAGGCACAGTATATCTGACAGTTAAGAACCACTTCCAACTTTTTTATTCTTTCATTTTGTCTTCAGAAAAACTGAACTCTCTCTACACTCCTTATAATAAGAGTAAGATTTGGATTTTGCAAACCAAATCATCATACAAAATAAGTATTCTGATGTTAGGTGTATTTGCTCTTACAGCAAATAATAATTTAAGTCAGGAACACAGGAGAGTCAAGGCAAAGTTTGCTAAGCCAAGTGATGAAGAATAACATTACAAGCTAACACATAGCACAGTGATCAAGGAAAAAATACTACCAACTCCTCGTAAAGTCTCCTAGAAAAGTGAAGAGGAAAAAATACTTCCCAACTCATCCTTTGAGGCCAAGATATATCAAAGCCAGACAAAAGCACTATAAAATAAGAAAACTAAATACAAACACGCCTGACGAATATTGTTACAGAAAACCTTAGCAAAATACTAGTGAACAGAATTCAACAGCACATTAAAAGGATTATGCACCATGATCAAGTGAGATTTCTTTCTGGAATCCAAGGATGGTTAAATATATGTAAATCAATCAATGCAATGCACGAAATTAACAGAATGACAGGAAAAAACCACACGTGGTCATCTCAATTGATGCAGGAAAAGCATTTGACAAAATGTAACACCCTTTCATAATAAAAAATACACAAGAAACTGGGCACAGTAGCTCATGTCTGTAATCCCAGTACTTTGAGAGGCCAAGGCAGAAGGATCACTTGAGTTCAGGAGTTCAAGAGCAGCCTGAGCAACACGGTGAAATCCTGTCTCTACAAAAAATAAAAAATATCAGCCAGGTATGGTAGCATGTGCTTATAGTTCCAGCTAGTCAGGAGGCTGAGGTAGGAGGATTGCTTGAACCCAGGAGGTTGAAGCTGCAGTGAGCCATGATTGTGCCACTGCACTCCAGCCTTGGCGACAGAGTGAGCCCCTGTCTTAATACAAACAAAAAATACACACAAAAGAAACTAGAAATAGAAGAAAACTGCAGCATAATAAAGGCCATATATGAAAAGCCCACAGATAGTAATATACTCAATAGTGAAAGACTGAAAGCTTTTCCTCCAAGATTAGGAAGTCAAGGATACCCACTTTCACCATCTGTCTAACCTATTACTGAAAGTTCTAGACACCACAATTAGGCAACAAAAAGAAATAAAAGGCACACAATTTGGAAAGGAAAAACTAAAATTATCTCTGTTCACAGATAACATGATCTT